TGCTGCTGGGGAGTACCAGCTGCCTAAACCGGACTATGCCATATTGGGGTGGGTGAGGTCCTTGCTGCTGCTGCTGCTGCTGCTGCTGTTGCTGCTGCTGCTGCTCCATCCTAGGGCAGGTGGGTTCCTTCCTGCTGCTGTTGTTGCCGGTGCTGTTGCTGCTGCAGCTGCTGCTGCTGCTGCTGCTGCCGCAGCTGTTTCTGCTTGCGGTGCTGGTGTTGCTGCTGCTTCTGCTGCTTTCGCCACTGCTGCAGCTGCTGCTGCTGCTGCTGCTGCGTTTGGCCTTGCTGCTGCTGCGAGCAGCGTGGGGACTGAAGTGTACACATTCCCCGGTGTCTCTGCAGCAGAACATTCTCACTTCCATTCTCTTTTGTCTCCTGAGGAACAGAAGCAGCACCAAGGTCCCTAAACCCTAAACCCTAAACCCTAAACCCTAGCCTACAAACCCTAAACCCTGGGGGGCCTGCTGAGTGCCCCTATAGCCCTCTTTTGCTGCTGCCTTTTTCACTCCCTTGGCCTGCAGGCCCCCGTTGGGCTTAGCCCTACACCCGTAGGGTTTAGGGTTTAGGGTTTAGGGTTTAGGGTTTAGGGTCTGCTGCAGAGGACATGGAGCACTGCGGGGACTGCTGGCCCGCATGGTGTCCCGAAAGGCTTTTTGCAAAGTTGGACAAAGAGTGGATTGAAAAAATGAAAAAACAATTTAATCGAAAAGAAGCAGCAGAAGCCATCTTGGTAGCCAAAGTCTAAACCCTAAACCCTAAACCCTAAGCCCTAAACCCTAAACCCTAAACCCTTGACGGTGCGATGACAGCAAGCAAAAGGAGCCTCTGGGTGTTTCTTTCTGTACTTTTTCCTGCATGCACTTGTGTTTTAGTTTTTTTTTAAAGTGAATAAATTAAATGCATTTTATATTAATTTAATTAAATCCATTTATCCTTTTCCCCTCATCGCCACCCCGCGAGGTGTCTGTGCACCCCGAAAATCGTTCGGGCGATTTCGGGTGTACGTACACCTCAGAGTTGCTGCAGCAGGACTTGCTGCTGCTGAGCTGTCGTTTATTTTTAATTAATTAATTAATTAATTAATTAATTATATTTATTTATTTATTCCTTTCTTTCTTTCTTTTATTTCGTTTCCCGTTTTTTTTTTTCTGAAACTGTGCGAAGTCTTTTTGCATGCATGCGCCACAAAACGCATGCAGCGAAAAACGCATGCAACATAAAACGCATGCAACACAAAACGCATGCATGCAGCAAAGTGTGGGGCAATGCATGCGTGGGGCCCCACAGCCTCCTGGGGGCCCAGAAATCTAATATATTGAAAATGTTTTTGTCCAAATTTAATAATTCCATTCTCTCCTTTTCTCCAAATGCAAATTTATTTTATTCTTCAAACTTCTCACCCCTAAAAAACAAATATAAACACGCTTCTGCAAAGCTGCAGCAGCAGCAGCAGCCGCAGCAGCAGCTGCAGCAGCAGCAGCAGCCGCAGCAGTAGCTGCAGCAGCAGTGGCTGCAGCAGTAGCAGCATCAGCTGCAGCAACAGCAGCCGCAGCAGCAGCAACAGGAGCGACTGCAGCTGCAGCAGCAGCTGCAGCAGCAGCAGTAGCTGCAGAAGCAGCAGCAGCAGCAGCAGTTGTGTTTGGGTTGCGTGCAGGAGCTGCTGAAGGGAGAAGAAGTGTATTTGAACGGAAATGCTTTTCATGACCCTTTGAGGTTATCTATTTCAATTCGTGCTGCTGATTTGCTGCTGCTGCTGTCAAACCCTAATTCAGGGTTTGCTGCTTTTCTCCAAAAACACTTCAAAGTCTGCGTCAGCGGACAAGGAGACTGGAGGTTCCTCGATGTCCTCCCCAAAGACGGTCCGGAAACCCTAAACCCTAAACCCTAAACCCTAAACCCTTGATTGGAGGTTCCTCGATGTCCTCCCCAAAGACGGTCCGCGAACCCTAAACCCTAAACCCTAAACCCTAAACCCCACACCCCCTACTGGTCGAAAAGTAATTTGGAGATGATATAATTTGTCAATTAAATTAAAAGATTTATTTTTGATTAAATGAAAAATGAAAATGCAAAAAAGAAAAATTAAACGAGACACTTTTGCTGCTTCTTTTGTTTCTTTTTTATCCCGTTTTTTCTTTTTTTGTTTTATTTTTTCTTTTTTTATTTTCTTTTTATTTTCTCTTTCTTTTCTTCTTATTTTCTTTTTATTTTCTTTTTATTTTATTTTCTTTCTAACATTCTCGTAACCTTTTCAATCTTCTGTCTAATCTTTTTTTTAATCTTCTCTTTAATATTCATTTTTAGTTTTTTAACCTTTTCAAGTTTCTCTTCAATTTGTTTAATCTTCTTTTATTTCCTTTTTCCTTTTTCTTATTTAGTCTTTTATATCTTTTAATCTCCTTTTCTTTTTAATTTATTGTTAATTTTTATCTATTTTTAATTTTTATCTATTTTTAATTTTTAATTTACTTTTTATTTTAAAATTCTCTTTTGTTTCTTTTTTAGCCTTTTAGTTCTCCTTTTGATTCTTTTTATTTTCTTTTTGCATTTAAAAGAATAAACACAAAATTAAAGTCAAACTAAATTAAAACTAAAATTAAACTTGTAATTAAAATTAAAATTAAATTAAAATCAAATCAAGTTAAGTTAAATTAAATTAAATTAAATTTTAAATTAAATTTTAAATTAAATTTAAATTCTTTTTATCTTTAGGAGGCAAGTTGGGAGCCACTCTTTTCGTAATGCAAAAATTGGGATTTCAGCCGGAGGAGGTCAGTATTATTTTTTTTTTATTTTATTTATTTGCTTATTCATTTATTTATTTGCTTATTTATTCAATTACTTATTATTTGATTTATTTATTTATTTGCTTATCTATTTATTTATTTAATTTATTTATTTATTTGCTTATTGTTTAATTATTTATTTGATTTATTTATTTGCTTATTTATTGTATTGCTTATTTATTTATTTATTTATTTATTATTTATATATTTGTTTATTTATTTTAATTGATCATTTTTTTAAATTATTTATTGTTTCTTCTATTTATTCATTCATTCATTTATTTGTCTTTTTAATTCATTTAATTAATTTATTTGATTTGATTATTCCGTTTCCCCTTTTTATTTGTCTTTTCATTTATTTGTTTCCCTCATTTATTTCTTCTCTTTTTTCTTTTCATTTTTAATTTCTTTTTCTCTCCTTCAATCCCGAAAAGTTTAATCTTCAAATCTTTTAAATCTTTTTATCTTTTGAATGTTTTAAAACATTTAAAACATTTAAAAATCTTTTAAATCTTTTACATCTTTTAAATGTTTATAATGTCTTTATTAAACATTAAAAACTAATTTAAAACTTGAACCTACACCACTTCAAATTAAATTTTTCCATTTGTACTTTTCTTTACTTCCTTTTTAATTTCTTTTTTATTTGCTTTCCTTTAATCGTTTTTATTTCTCTTTCACTTCCTTTATTTATTTCTTCTATTTATTTCTTCTATTTATTTCTTTCATTCACTTCTTTTATTTCTTTTTATTTCTTTTATTTATTTCTTTTTTATTTCCTTTTTACTTCTTTTTCTAGACTCTAGTTTGTGGAGACAGTGGAAATGACGCAGATATGTTTTGCCACAAAAGCTTTAAAGGCTGCTGCGTACAAAACGCCCAAAACCCTCTTTACCAATTTCTCAAATACCAATCCCCTGGGGGCCCCCAGGGGGGCCCC